ACGTGATGCCTTTGTGTACCAAAGCCGTAAACATGTCACTTTCTTTTATGTTTCCTCCTTATAAAAAATATAAAGTCCCACTTCAGCTATTAAACTAACCAGGGTTAAGGTATTTCATTTTAAAAATCTGTTATTTATAGTGGAATACCTAACGTTCTTTGAAGATTATTTATCCTTATATATTTTAAGTACGAAAGGAGAATATAAATTTGCTTCTTAGTCTTTTTTTGTAACAGTAGTCAGTTATTTTTAATTGTATAAAAATGATCCAAAAACGTTATGATTTTTATGGTTTTAAGGCCTATAACTACTTTTCAAGAGCTTTATTCTTCAATGTCAAGATGATTGTTTCCTATAATATTAATAGTGTGAATGGGAAAAGTAGCATTTACATAGTCTTTGCTTTAAAATAGACTCTTTTCCCAAAATGTAACACATTTCAAGGTATATTGCCACACAATAACCTGAAGAACAACTACCTATCAAGATAGAATTGCCTATAGGGCAAAAGGCTGTTCCAGATTTTGTTAAGGACTTGGCGTAGAAAGTATTCGTTAAAGGTATATAGTTAAGAAAAATGTTCCTCAGAATCTGGTTAGCTGATTATCTGAATTTAAGTCTCCTGGTGAGCACAAAGCAAATTCCTTTTCTCCACCTTGGCTGGCAAACCAAGTGCTTCTTGTATGTCCAAAAATAGGTGATTTCAAGACCTTAGAAGGACTAAACTGTGCTTTTAAGGTGGAGTGATGTTCATATATTATAAGGTGTTATTTTCCCATTTGCTTAAAATGCTGCCTTAAAATATATTCAGGATGTTCCTGAAAACTAGAATGGCACCTGCTTGCTCAAAATTTTCTCTGATTATTCTCTAGTTATTAATGCTCTGATTAATGCTCTAATTATTCTCTGATAATTAAGGCATAGGAATTTAAAATGAAATTACCTGGGCCCAGGATAGAATTGAGAATTTAGACGCATCAGAGAATTTCTCTTAAGATTGTCTATAATATGCACACATTCTGGGGAAAATATGCTTCACAATGCACACTTCCTTCCAAGTTTCCACCGTTCATTGTTATTTACTGATAGGTCAGAAGAAAACAAGCCTTTGACTGCTCCTGATTTTATAAATCTCTGACTAGAAATGCCCTCTACTTCCCACTCCTGCATCAAAGCCTATTGAAGGTACAGGTAGAAACACAGGGAGCGCTGGTTGGCAGGTCTGCGCGGTTCTGTCAGGCTCGAAGACCAATTCCCAGACTGACAACAGAGCACATATTTGGTTCGTAGTCTCTCAATTTTTGTTGAGTTCAATTAAGTTGATATTTAAAGTCTCTAGCAGCCCTTTTCTCTGACCTTAGAATGCTAATATCCATTGTTCTTTTTCTGCTTATATTTTAGTCAATTTTATACATTTGTCTAAAAGATCTGGATTTTAAACTTTCTGGGTCAGAGATCATAATTAACTTCTTGCCATGGTACCTAGAAGAGTGTTTCCACAGAATAGATTCTCAATAAATATTCATTTAATTCAAATACATTGAGATTATTTTATTTTTAATATACTTTCCTTGAATTTACATATGACTTGATTTTTATTCTCTAAAACATCATAAGTACCATTAATTTTTTTACACTGAAAGATCTTTAGCA